CTAATTATATCAAAGGACTTAATGATTAATTCCAAAAGGTTGTCAAAAACATCAAATCTGATACATATGTCTATACACATGACTTAAAGGGACAGTTTCGCCAGTCGTTTGACCAATCTACCAGAATCGTAAATATTTCATCTTAACTTATTAGTAATAATGTTCTCAGTTCAATGCTAAAATTTGAGCCTTCAAATCCATGATTGTCCGAAACTATCAGCTGTGCTTGAAAGTTTCAAAGACATATCATATAGAACAAGAAAGAGAAATGCCTAGTTTGTGGTATTTTTGAAGGAATTATGCTATTTTCATACTTTTCTAGTACATATTCAAGACCCAAACCAATCCCCAAAAATCGCAAACCTGTCCTTTAAATCATGAAATAACGTGGCTAAAGGCTTTGATATTATGACAACAAATCAATGTAATCATTTCTAATAGCAGGTTTTTAGCTTTGAAATGTGTTGCAGCTTATTTTGTGAAGCTTAGATTCCGTCTTGCTTGATCTAGTTGTTATTAATTTTCTTATATTATGAAAACATTTCCATTTAGGGTTTATGCACCTTCAGCAGTTATTTACAGCAAATCAGCATAAAATTTTCAAAATGCATTTGAGATGTTTGAAGAAATATTTGGGAATCTGTGCATATTCTGCATATTTTGCTATCCAAAAATTGTGAAAAAGTATTTTTGTGTTTGTGTGTTATATTTTAAAGCTTGTCTGAGGTTTTTATGTTTGTTTTGTTTGTGGCTATTTGTTATAATGATCAGTATTTTTTAGTCAACTATCCGGTGTTCTAGTCATCTTATAATAATATTGTATATTAGTTTGAAAAACCATTTTATAATTATCATATTTTTATCCTTGTAAGGTATTGTTGATCCTTACTGTATAGTTATACAGATCCAAGGATCATTCCACAAATTAACCATGTTATTAAGCAATAGTGTACAATGTTTAGTTGTGATAAATGTTATACAGTATTGCTAAAGGAACATAAGATTAACACCTTCAGTTAACTGATATTGAAGTAGTAATGAACACAGCACAGTATAAGCATTATTTAAGGCTGATACGATGTGATAGATTAGATATTGTGTGCATTCGTGAGCTGTTTAGGCTCATCGATACATTAGTGAGAAAGTTTACCTAATCTGATTAGGCTAATCAAGGCAATAAGATTAGACTTTTTGAAAATGGTGGCGTGTGGAACAATAATAATAATAATGAAAATAGATAACTTTCTGTACTTGCCATACTGTAGACCACTGCTAATCAAATCGAAAAAATGCTTTTTATGTCTGGTTTTCTGATTTTCATTTAATATTCTACTTCAAATTTAAGTTGACTGTTGGATGTTTAGAATTTTCAGCAGAAAAGCAAAATGTTTTGTTAAACTGTATTAACAGTGCCATCAGCTTCAGCCTACTGTAAGCAACATTATGAAAATTTATTTAGCGTTGCTCGGTTGGTACCTTGGTTGTGAATAATCAAATTGAATGATTTTACTGGCTTCATACATCATTTATAACTAAAAAGCATTATTATTGTATTATTTAGTATAAGTGAAAAAGTTGTTTGCCAAGTCTTGGTAGAGGTAAATTTCATGAAAAGACTTAAAAATATTGGTACCGATAAAGAACATCCAATTTTTTTCTTTAAATTTCCTACAAAAAGTGTCTGTTTTTATTGCATGTATTTAATTCTTGGTTAAAATAGTCTACCTAATATGGTGTATGAAGTTCAGAGATTTTCATCAGTCATATTTTTCATTCAATTGTATTTATATACAAATGTTAATAAATCATACAAAACTCTATATAATCTCTTATATTTAGTTTCTAATAGAGATCAAGTCACTCTTCACAATTGACATCATCAACCACAGATATCTGATTGAAAGCAGAAAAGGTGCAAATTGATGCTATCAGTGTCCCTAATATACATAAAAAAATTCAGAAAACCTGTTTACAATTAATTGAATTAAATTTAGACTCAAGTTGGACTAACAAGATCAGTTAAATCACTTACTTATAACACTCTTAATAAAATAAGCCCCAAAGTCAGGATGGTGTTAATTTATTTAACCAAATAGAAGGTAGATAATTTTTATCTGGTTAACTGAATTACATTTGCAGTGCAAAAAGGAGGAAAGAACAATCCTACACATTCATCTGAAACACAATTTTATTGCATTTAATGTCTTACACATCAATTCTGTATGAAAAGAATTTGAATTTACAGTAATATCAGTGACAACCCAAAGAATTCCATGTTTCATTAAAGTTAAACTAAAGCATATATTATGTTGTCTTCACTTTTCACAAGAAATTGGATGCCCTTAAAGTGAAGTGAAGTAAAGTGAATAATTCATAATTCTGAAGCTAAATTATCAAATAAGGCAAACTAATGTTTTGTGTAGTCAATTTCAATGAACAAAAGAAATGTTTAGGTCAGTAACAAAACAAGCAAAATAAAAATAATAAGTGAACTCAAGAATTGGACAGAGTGGTATCAAAAGCTTCATATTTTACAAATATATACAAATAGATTTTACACATAGTACTCAATTAAGACAGAAATTACTGGTATACATCAGAAACATAAATAAGCACAACCGAATTTTAGGTAGTAAGCACAAAAACTTTATGCTTTTGGAAAAGACCAAAGGACCCCATTCTCGTCCCAAATTGAGTACTATGTATAAGCATTGCATAAAAAAGACTTGTTGTTCAAACTATATCACAGTGTTATACATATATTATAGCACAAAATAAAGATAAATAAATTAAACACAAATTCTATCCTCTATAGACAATCCTTACATTCACCAAA